TTGAGGTTTTTCTGTGAGGTCGTTGTACCACGTCGGTCGACCTGGACTATTTGTGCCGAAGTATTCCTCTCCTACGAAACCTATTATAAATAATATAAAAAGCTAAATGACTCGATTTGAGGAGTTTTAATGAAACTTTAATTTTACGAAAAATATTTTACTAAATAATAAATGTGTAGCGGTTGTAATTAAGCTGCGTTACAGCTACCGCCCAAATATTGTATTCAATATATGGACTTTAATATATTACTTTTTAATACGAAATTATGAATATGATAATTATTTCGTATCAGAAATTACCGATAATTACCGATATTAATATTTTGTTGTTCGTATATTTTTATTTATTCTCACAATGAACTTGTATAAAGCTATAAATTGCTTATTCAGAACTTTAACAAATACTGCTTTTATTGTTTGGTTTCGATATTTCTATTCAAAGTAGTCAGAAAAGAAGTCATCGTCCTCAGCTAAGCAAAGACGATTTCATACTTATAATTAGTAACTATAATTATTCAGGTTTCCTCATTCTGCTGTGCCTCGTCGTATGTCAGTGGTGTCTAAATAATCATAGAAATCATATATAACTCGGACAAGTCATATTGGTGCCTGTCAGGCTTCGAAACCGCGCCCTCCAGATAATAATTATAATTATTCGTATTATTTTAAAGTTATTTAAGTTCTGTGGTGTCTCGATATCGTGGTTGCATGAGGGTGCTATTTCTAAGCCTGACAGGTACCTATATGATTAACTGGGCCAAATTTTATCGTAATTATTTTAAGCGCATTCAATGTGATCATTTTCGATCGAATACAAAGTTTAAAGTTAAAGGTTAGGTTGTAGGTTACCTAATTGTATGTTAGGTTTAGTAATTAGGTAAGTTATCATCAGTACCTAAATACACAAGAAGCATAATGATAAATATTATTACTGATTGTGTTTATTTCCTAGTAGAACGTAACATGGCAATTGCTTGCAATTATTTAGAATTACAAAGTGCTCCAGATCTCGTTTCTTACATTAACTACATAATTAACTACCTCCACGTGGAAAATTCTATACATTCATTTGTACACTTTTATGAAAAAAGAAAACGATGATTTGTACACAAACTTCGCAGTTTTTCTGTGAAATCAGTAAGACCTTATTTATGGTTATTACCTTAGGTATTATATATTTTTTTACTTGAATAACATGAAGCATCTTATTTTTTTATTTATTTTCTTTTCTAAAAAAAAACGTTGCCCCACACTTGGATTTTCTCCTGTGCGGGTTACAAACATTCAATTTCACATGCACATGACACCCAGACCCGAAACAACAATTTTTGGGTCACACGAAGAGTTATTCCGTGCGGGAATCGAAACCGCGACACGTTGCACGGCAGCCAGTTGCCCAGCCACCGCACCAACCGTGCGGTCCAAAAAAGCTTAGGTATATGTTGATTAGGTACCTCCGCACTGGTCTGTTGATGCAATGTGGATGTAGATGACGGAACAGATTGCGAACTTGGTAAACATGTTGAGTTTGGGCTCATTCTTTGAGTTCTCTTAAGCACGAGAGTGTGTGACTAAAAATATGTTTTAAAGCAGAACTAATAAAATTGATATCACGCTAGCGTGACATGTAGTGTTTGTAAGATTTTTTAGGATGGCGAATATCAGCAAACGATCTGACGGATTATCTTATGGTGTATACCTAGTTTGTTGTTTTGCCTATGCAACTACAGAAGACAAAATTCTCGTTAAAATCAAGGACGCAACAATACTATTAACATTGCGCTTATTTACTGTTCTCCTACTTAGATTTCCTTAAGTAAATGTAATTTACAGGAACCTGGCCTCGATTCCTAGCTTAAGCAAGCAAGCAACTCTAACCAGAACGAACATGTACCTACCTTATAATCAGAATTACTTGTTCCTTACAGAACATTAGTAAAATAAAATTATAAAGTGAATTCTGTGTGAGATAACCCTGCTTTGGCACGAATGGGACAGCTCGACCGGAATAGTACTGCGGTTTCTCAGAATGAGAATGTACACAAAATGATTTTTGCCATGTGATTCGAGTTCAATGGAAGTCCAGAGCCCTCCCTCCATCATATATAAGCCTCAAATCCTTAATAATACACAAAAGTGCGGTAGCACATTTATTAGTCTTTTGGTGTTGCGGGACTCCATGGGCGGCACAGAATACATAGATACCACCAGCTGATTCGTCTGCTCGTTTTCCGACCAATTTCAATGAAAGACGATGTCCCCGACAGTGAAATAAAGCCATACCATCTTGGTTTGATAGTTAGGGTAACAAATAACAATTCTTGAAATTAATTTTATCAAAAACCTGTTTTGTAGAATGCGGTGTAAATAGAGGAAGACCCCTATGGAGATTTGGGTATGTCTGGGTGGCAATGTGTCATCAACCTCGCATCTTTGTTCGGTGTCGTCAGGAAAATTTGTACGTGACATCTGCTCTTTGGCATGGCTCTCGAATTTCCTAGTAAGAACCTGCCTTTATCTAAACATGTTTCATCCGAGCGTTAGTTAGAACATCTACCTTTTATAAAATCGCACAATAACTAGTCCAAACCTGGAAACAGTGAAACGTATAAATCAAATACAAAAAAATCGGCTTATCATACATCTTACAACACATAACAAACCGTTTTTTTTATAGAAGATTAACACCGCTATGTAACTCATAAAGCAGAAGTATAGCTATAGCGGCCATGATGATTTTTCGACATAAGCCACGCCTTCTTTCATTCATTTAAAAGGGACACGGATTAAGTGCACCCTCTAGGGTAGTACCCTAATTGAAATCAACGCAACGGACTCCATTTTTACTTTATTGATCATGTTAGGTTAGTATTTATTTGTTTTGCTGTACCAAACTATACCTATATGTATTTTTTAAGTTTTTTTTTACTTACGAGGAAATGTGATATAGTACCTTCTTTTAGTCAGAGATTTCAATTCAATTCCAAGTTATTATTGGAAAGATAAATGGTTTATAGGTGATACGAGTTAGCAAATAATTTAGTATATTTGTTTCAATATCAACACAAAGAAAATTAAATGTCCAATTGCTTGAGACACACACAGACGGATATTGCTAATGAAAAAAGCTATATATTGTTAAAAAATTAAAACTATGAACTTAAGTATTGAATTTCTAAATATGCCTTCTGCGATTATAATTTGACGTTAACAAAAAGTTTGTGTAGTTTTTAAGGTCATCGCTCTGATGAGCCATTGTTTGGGATGCAGTGACGAGCGTTTATTACGTTTGTACAAAGATACTTTTAGCAAGAAAAAAACGTCTCCTTCCTGTATTATTAATGTTTATGAGAAAATTATTTTGTTAAAGGAACATGAATATATGGGGATTGTTATAAATCTTCATTGAGTGACCGTCAAATTGGACTGTGATTTTTATGACCTGTATATATTTGAAACATATTTGGATAACCTGCTCGACAAAAGAAACAAGCTACTCAAGTCCTATAGTAATTGCACTATTAAGTGTGTAAACAATAGTTGGTATTGGATTACTTTGTAAGTAGCCATATGTAGTCAATACCTCTTTCTAACTGTCCAAAAACAAAATTTTCTGTGATATTAATGAAATAGCGAGTTTTCACATATTAATATTTTTGCGTCAAAACGAACGTCAACGAAATTTTAACGATAGATATAAAGTGTCAATCAGTCGATCAGTCCTCTTAGTTAAGCTATTTCCTCGTTCCAAAGTGTATATTCCGATGGAGAACAACGAGCATGAAAGTCCATGGTTACTCGTCAAGCAGCATTTATTTCTCTCACCTATTCATTTCTCTCAAATTGAGCTATCAAAATTCGAAGACTAAGTTCAATATGAAATCGAATTCTAAAAGTGTGATTACAAGTACATAATTTACATAGTACAATAAAAAGACGAACTTTAGAAGGCTTCCTTTAAAATGCTGAACATATTTTTTGTGAAACTTACACCGTAACGAAAAAAATTGCAGGATCTAAATACATGAAATGAAATATTAAAATTCAACGTGACAGAACCAAAATGTTATAATTCCTTATGAAACAAATAAAGTTTACCATTATATATATACATATAATGTAATTGTTATCACAAAATCACAATCTACCTACACTATACTTTAAAATGTAACTTTATACACGCATTTTCTTCATGACATTTTTCTAATGGAATCCTTTTGTAGTTGGGATAATAGCTCGTCCATTACAGGGATCTATGACGCAAATACTTAATGATATTTGAGCTGTATACACCTACAACCTGTCCTTGAAGGAACATGTCTTTTCAACCTTTAAGTAATGTACCGTGAAAAGAATAGACTAGAATAGAATTACTAATGTTTATAATGTTATAGGTAATTAATACTATTAGGTATTTAAAAACGTTTGATCCTTATAAAATCTGCCTCATGGTACCTACCTATGCACAATTTTAAATAACTTATATTACTTTTAATACTTATAGTATAATAAACTAGCGGCCCGCCCCCGCTTCGCAAGGGTCCGACTATCTCGCTATCAAAGGGTTACTTTTTCCTAATCTTCCCCTCTACTTTTCCAATATTTTCTTTGATAAGAACCTTCTCCCGACAATATAATAAACACAACAAAAAAAAGAATTAGCAAAATTGGTGAAGTTATGCGCTTACCGACACATTTTGCGATCCATTTTTATATACATATAAAGATGAACAATATTTCCGAAAACGTTGAATCTATACTAATATTATAAAGAGGTAACATTTTTAAGTTTGTATGTAGTGGGCAATTTTGGAACCACTGGTCGGATTTCTAAAATTCTTTGTATCACTGAAAGATAGCCACAATGTTCCAGAGTGCTATAGGCTATAAAAAAATCACGCTACGATCAAATGGAGCCGAGCAGCGAGTGAAACCACGCGGGAGTAGTTAGTTTTTACATAAAAATATAAGAAAAATGTGCTATATTGAACTACATTGTCATGTACATTTTTGACTTTAGAGTTCGATGTAAGAAAAGGTACAACCTTTTATGATTAACTTTGAAAATGGAAGATAAAAAAAATACATACTTTTAACCTGATTCTTTGGATGTTAATTTAGGGATTATCAATCTTATTATTATTAGGAATGTTACATTTTCGAGTGGCCAGTGTCTCGTGAACTTCAAAACCACGTCACGGCGTACGAATATTATGTTTTAGTGAGTATATAACTCAAAGTAAATTTACAACAATTTTATTTACTTAACATTTTGTTACTATGTTCTTTCTTCTTTATGTCTAGCCCAGTAAAGTATGAAAATAATAATATGTTTGAATCGATAAGTACAAATAAATATATATTTACAAGATTGTCTCAATAAATACTTTTGGTTCCTTACTAAGCATGCGCGTAAAGAAATCCTAAGGCTGCGTACACAAGGTACGTATGTTTAGATTAGATTAGAATATAATATTATTTCCTTTTTAACAAAAATAATATTATATAAAGTAATAAAGGATATTTTAGAAATATATAATTTACTATCAGGTTTTACAAAATACCTTATCAGTTAAGATTAATGATGATTCACAAATTGCAATTATAAATGAGTATAATCATTAGCGTTAACTCAAAGATAAAAAAAAATGTGTTTAAAATATTAATTTTTCAAGTGTTGTTGTTAAGTAATGATATTGTTTTTACTGTGAAACTTTCTTCTAACCCTTGTAAAAAGTAATATAAATTATGTAAGTTGCTAGTGTGAACGCGGCCTTAACTAGCACCCTGAATCCCGCGCCCCGCGCCATCCCCGCAACGCCCCCGCGTTTGACTACATCCCTGGCCGTCGCTGTTCCCGCCCTCAGTGCGGCTGGAGAGTTCAAGCCGCCCTCTCGTCTGCAAGCACAACTCAGAAATATGGCGCGCTCCGCGCCAAGATTCACGAGATCCGGGGCCTACTTTGAAGGCAAGGAGAGATTCCTTATAAGACTTCAAGAAACCGACAAACAAAGCGAACACTTCAGAACAAGGGCTGAAATTGATTTAATGATAACTGACATCATTGACAAGAAACCACAATTAAGTCCATATGTCGTACGGAAAGAAGATGGAATATTTAAATTACTCGTTAAGGGTAATTTAGAAGTGAACAGTTCTAAAGTTGACGTCCTCGTCGAAGTCATTGCTGATGACGACATTTACGACTATGTGATGGTGGAGCACTTGAAAAACGACCATGCTTCAGCTAACAAAATTTATGAAAAATTTAAATTAAGATACGCTATATCACAATACATCATAGAGCTAGTGATAGAGCAATGCTTGAAATGCGCCGTGAGTCTCGCTTCAGATTCGTCTGAAGAGTTTGAGACTCCCCTCAGGAAGGGAGTTGGGGAATGGCGCATAAGCATCATCAATGTGGGACATCTGGAAACCATATCTAACCCAGATGACTACGAAATACTTTGTATCACGGATACAGAAACACGATTCACGATCCTGCGTCCGATAATGGATCACTCCAAAAACTGCTTATACAAGAACTTTGATTCCATAATCATGGAATATGGGTTCCCAGTGAAGATTCAGGTGCCGGAAAAGCTGAAATTTCTGCGGCACCTCATGGACCAAATTTGGTCCCGCCGAGATAGTCCGAAAATAAGAGTGGCGATGGAAGTCAGACATGACTATGACTTCGCAGAAGATAAGGAGAGGTGCGAAGTGGCGTTGATATCCTGGGCTGCTGAGGCGGATGACAAGCTGCTGTCCATTGGGTGCGCGTGCGTGGAGTACTGCCTGAACGTTACCAGGGAGACGTTCAGCAACCCGGACGGGACGATGACCTGCACCACACCGATGACCAGATTCTACCGCCGCAAACAAGCGTGGGACCACGAGTACTCTTAAACGGGTGCCATAACTATGAACTTTAGTATTTTCGTTCAATAATGTATTATATTTCTAGTGTAATAACAGTTTTGTTTCTGAGATAAAATCGATTTGTCTAGTCAAATTGAAAAATTAATTTCAAGTGGTGCCATAAGTATTATGTTAATCGTAAGCTATGTCGGGTTAGTTCGTATAGGATATTGTTATCATAAGTTAATTTACACATAATTTATTTTAGGTATAAGTCGTAGTTAATATTTATTTATACTATTAACGGTTCTTATAAACATTCAGGAAAACTTTGCCAGTACTTCTGCAACAATTGGGCGATTTGTAATTAATTTGTAAGGTCTCACGGTTTGAAATCAGCATAAAATAATGTCATTTTATGTATTTCCTGTTATTGTTGGAACTGTTATATTAATTAAAATTTAGATGTATTGTTAAAATTGTGTAGTGTGTTCCTACTAGCTTTTTATACAAGGGAGTTTATAAAATACATGAATAAATGCTTGTAACTAATTATCTGGTTTCCTAATTTCATAATACCTATCCCCTTCTCTTTTTTAAAATACACAAAGACTCAAACAACTGGATCTCATAAGAATTACAATTCAAAATAAAGCACATTATCCTTTCTAATTCTTACTATTATTTTACCTTACTTATTCTTATAGACCTAATATTAAAATCAATTAGGTACTAGACATAAACTTTATTTATTTCTCTAGCGTTTATTTATAAAATTCATAATTAACATCAAAATTATATGAGTTACTATTGGACTATGGATCTTAAAGAGAGAACCTCGACATAAAAGAAATTGTCCTTATCATCATACTTATCACCAGTTTTAAGATATGTAAGTTTATTGTAGTGTATAAAATGTCCCACCAAACGTAAATGCTCGTTCGGCAGCCGGCACTTAAGACTCGCGGGAAGAGTGATAGTTTTGACGTATTCTGTGACGTCAACATACAAATAAAGGAAACTTTTACCTAACTGAAATATTAATGTTGTTCTCATACCTTATTTTTTGACACTGGAAATTATAACATGGCTCTAGTAACTGAATGCCAGCCAATTAAAGCAAGCTAGAAGTGTAAGATCTAGACCTCGTCATTGTTCTCAATTCAATTGTTCCAAGCTCGAGGTGAGGAACGATGACTTTTTCTGGGAGCAAATTCTATTACATTATTTCTTAGAACATTCTGGAAGTTGTATTCGTGTTGCTGGTAACTCCGACACCTCACGTTTGCATATTCTGTGGGCTTGCAACGATTTTTATGATTACACTATATTCGTACTTATACAGTCCCTTTCACTCGTCCAACATTAAGGCCTATCACATCAGTCGCCCTTTGCAAATCACAGTGTTACGCTATCACAAACTACCATTACGGAAAGCCCTTAAGTACATTAACATTTGGCTACGGGCAACGGCCATCATTCTCAAACGAACCACTACTCTACACAACTAATAACTATAGTTACCCATGAACAATGGTTTAGTTTGAAGATGGGAGTTACAATTTCACATCTTTGTCGAGAGATACACAATCGAAAGTAAGTAAGTTCAAGTACGTCGGGTTCCCACGCGTAGGACAAAGATTACGTTGGTAGACATGATATTATTAGTCATTTCCGGTCTTCAGTAGTGGCATGGGTACACATTTCTTGTTGGAGAAATTATTTAGTTTGTAGGGCCGTCCATTGCTTTGTCTTTGAGTAAAGTTGAGTTCAGTAATTCTATGCTCTAATGTTGATCCTGGCTTATAAATATGTTTTCAAAGTCAAAAGTCAAAATAATTTGTTTTATCTAAACTATAAATAGGTACTTTTAAAACGTCACAACCGAATAGTAGTCTTTCAGTGTGTTTGTTAGTGAAACTAGTGTTGGAGCGGTTCTGACTTCTTTCATTTTCGTTATCTATGGTGTACAAGAAAGAGTATATACCTACTCTTAATTAAATAAGGTGTTTGGAATCAGCTCGGTTGTTTTTACTCAATACTCAATACTCAATACTCAATACTTTATTGCTTTCCACATGTATTCTTAGGTGGTAGTACTTATAAATAGTTCATATGGACCCTGTCGGGCACAGCAAAGTAAGTGGGATAGGAGAGAGGAAGCTCTTATCGGCTATGTTACTTATTTTTGTTGACTAAGACTAAGGTTATATAGGCAAGTAAGTTATATATATTTATGTTTGTTTTTTTTTTTATTTATTTTTTTATTTCATTCTTATAAATTTCCATTCATCATCTTCCTCAGCAAAATGATATTCATGTCGCATAGCCTTTACATTGCTACCCTTTTTTTATAATAGCTATTGTGGAAAAATTTGCACTTCATTTACATAATAGTCTTAGCTGCGTCGCTAACTTTATCAAATACTAAAATGACAAAGGATTCAATCAATAAATCAAATCAAATCCATTTATTGTTCGCCACAGTAACAGGAAAAAGTTTCTCCTAAAATATAAAATTTAAATTAATATTTGACTAGGTAAGTCAGTCAAGTCTTTTTAAGTAAACTGTCACGTCTGCAATAATTACCCATTAATCTGTGGCTCGAAGATAATGGTGGGAACTTAACGAAGTAGGAAATAAGTGACGAGTGACCGAGCGAAGATTTCTAATCGATTAAAAAATGCGATTATACTCGAGATGTGCAAAACGATTTATTTAAAAACAAAGTGTATAATGAGGAATACTTATGTACACATACTATTTAAGTATGTCTTATTAATTATATTGACGTGTATTTGTTTTCGGTAATAATAGGTAATTTCTTTGTTATTTACATAAGTAAATGTGGGAAATACATGCTTTTTCAACTGTTTTTCTTCTTTTGTTTTTTATTGTATTTCTCATTCTTCCTCAACCTCTTTTCTCTAATCGTGATCCTCAAATCACTAATTCTCAAATCCCTAACAACCTACAAAAGGCCGGCAACGAACCTGTAAGGCTTTTTGAGTTGCAGTTGGCTATGGACGGCGTTGATTGCTTTCCATGGGGTGATCAGAGCGACGACGGATAGGTGTCGGACACAAAAAAATAAATGGTTCACTATTATAGTAGTTGTCCCTTCTTAAACTATTAAACTCTACAAAAAGACGTTGACCATATCATATAAAGTACGACGACCGTCGTACGACGTTACGACGTACTTCGACCGTGGTGTTAAATACTGTAGTTTATAAAGCTTAGATTTATCAGGTATTTTTTGTCCAGTCTCTATTAAGTGGTTGTTACGACGCGACACTTCCTGGTAAAATTGGGGCAAATGTTGATCAAGTTATAACTCAAGATCAAGAAAAACTAATGATTAATGACATCAACAGCTGCTTACTTCATCACTTTCAAATAACTTCCCGATAAACTTATGAAGCACACAACGCACAGAACATAATTGTATATTACATTCTGTATTCAAATTTATGAGGCTATTCAGTTATTGTATATTATATTTATTTCTATTTCAAAATTTTACAATCCCACACCCAATTTTCCAGCCAGTTAGTGCCATAGTCGTACATAAAAACTCGTTATTATGAAACTCCTTGCAATGCAGATGCATTTCTTTTTTTTTTGAGCGTTGGCTATTTAGCATAATAAGTTATTAACAGGCAGTCAAACCTCAACGACCTTGTGTGATTAATGATCTGTAGTTTTTTTATGACTGTTTTGTATGTTTATGTTTAATCAGTGTGCGTAACTCGAAAACTGGTTGACAGATAATGATGAATCTTATGGTGTTTTGTTTGGAGATAATAAATTGTTTGGGTATTGGTTGTAAACGGTGTTTAAGTGTGTGTAGTGATTTCTAATACAAAGACTTTCTTAGATAAAAATATTTTTTAGAAGTTAAGGTTTATAAAATGTTTTTAAATATTTGGACGGATAATCAAATTATAATCTGTAACTTACCTACTCAATAATTAATGCTAGCTATCGTGTCTTATATTCTTTCCACATCTTAGACAGATTCCACCCTAATCTTGAGACAACTAAGACTTCGAACTTCTCATCCTACTGGTTTTCTAGTTATAACATTGCAAAACATCCATCACAAACCTAAATATGTCTCTTTGCTCCATTCTGAAACATAAATTAATTATTTTAGTGTGTGCGAAATGTTGAAATATTTAGCAAATAAAAATACAACTAGTTGCGGAATAAGAAACAAGGCTTTGTTCTCAAATTCAGAGACAGTTATATCATCAATACGACAGACAATCAGACAGATAAATTATAATGAGTGAACTTAATGCCACGGACACAATCTAGCACGGTGCAATCCATAAATTAAAATTTTCAAAACACTCACATCTCCTAAACGGCTGCACCTATTTTGACGTAACTTTAACCAAATTAAAGTTGATGAAATATATTTTTTTTCTTACAATATTGTATTTAACTCTGTTTAGTATTTTCTGAGTTATAGGGCTTTATATTCGGATGAATATTGAATTCTACAAATCGTGCGGCTGCGACTCGCATTGGTTACGTAAAACGACTTTCTTTGCAAAGGTCGCGGGTTCGATGGCCGGGTCGTGCATTGAGGTGATCTCTCGGGTTAACGGGGGCGCCTGGCGGCCCTATTTACGTTACGTATTGTATGTTAACGCTATCTTTGTATGTAGGGTGAACAGTACCCAAAAGGACGTGTTAGCTCCGGTTGATTATTGCGTTTGAAGAAATATTGTAATTGCGGTAATCGAGCTAGCGAGAGTCGCTGCAGCTAATGCTGAGAAATAAAAAAAATAAAGCATAATAATGCATTGTCATCTAGTAAAATATGACGTCAATGAACTCGCCACCAATGGCTCAAGCAATAAAATTTTGACCTATTAGCAAAATCAATTTGAAGAGTTGTCAGACCAACAGGACCAAATGCTGCATTAACGCCATCTGTTGAGTACAAAACCGAAAGTGCTTAGTGTCTCACGTCTATTTATGTAAGTTTTGAGGGAATTCTCACAGAATTGTAAACAGAGGAATTGTGTCAATA